ATGAACTAAGATAAATAAAAAGACCTTTTAAATTCACTGCCTCTTTTATCATACATCTTCATCCTACTTTAGGGTGGGAATTATATAATCAAGGGTTAGGGAGACTTTTCTTACTAATTAGGTGGTCAGCCACTTGCTAGTATCCCACAATTCGTCAATTCCATTCTCAGTCATTAACACAGCTGCGTTTTAAAGTCGCATACGCTATACTACTATGTTAGCAGGCTCTGAGATCATGTCCAGCTATCAAAATGCCGAGAGTCTTTCCCTCCTGGCCGGTCCAGAAAGGGCACCGCTCAAAGTGAAGATCCGCAAGCTCATCATTCCATTCACCCTCTCATGTGCTATGGTGGTAGACATTCTGGATGCACCGGGCAATCTATCTTTACCCACGACGGCCTTTCTGAAGCTCTATGATCGGCGATTCGCGACTCAGCGCCGTCAAGATCAAAAGGTGGACGACCCGTGGACTCCCAACATTGACCTTGAGCTGCTTGAATATTCACGAAACGGGGAGGCGGAAAAGTTTTTGGCCGACTATGAGGATGACCCAGAAAACAATGAGTTCGACCATGACTGGCCCCGCGCCAAGAAGGAGACATATCTTGCAGACCTTATGAAGGAGCAATTCGAGACAGAGACCAAGGTTTATGATGCGCTCATCAAACATCAAGGAACCTATATTCCCAAGCTTTTTACGACTGTGATTCTGGATTTCAGCACTGAAAAAGACGCGGGCCGACCCCCCCATCTCTTCTATGCCTACGGGATATTGATAGAGTTCATTGATGGGTTCATGGCTTCACAAATCAACCAGTTTGCTAAGGCAAAAGATTGGGAATTCCTAGTGAACGAGGCATCTAAAGTCGTTGGGGCTGTATTCAACGACGTGCCCATTGTTAACCAAGACATACGGCCGGCCAACATGATGATTTGTCAAACGGATGGAGAGCCTAGATACCGATTAGTCTTAATTGACTTTGGACAATGCGAGTTCAGGGATGGGGAGACCGATGAAGAATGGGGACGAATAAAGCATACGCAGGATGAGGAGGGTGCCATGGGATATGTCATTGTGTTACAATTGCGGAACAAGACTGGGGTTGAAGTAAAGTATGTTTGGCCACGTACGTGGGTTGATTTTGCAGAGACAGAAGAGGAGACATTGCATTTGATGTCAAAGGATACAGAAAAGAAGGCTGATAGTTAAAGTCTTGTTGAACTAAAGTATTTTAGAATTCGGGCTATATACTAGAAGAAAATCGATATTGTAACGCTATACCCAAACATCACAACAAAATCAACCCAGTAAGAGAGAGGTAAATAGCTGCACCTGAATTAAGATTCAGCCTTGTTGCTCGACAGGCAATAGGGTTTAGTTATAAACAACAGCACGAACAAAGGTTATATCCGGCGTTGGCTCCTCCGCTGGCATAACTCCCTTCAGTGAAATGAGTCGGTTAAAGAGGAGGCTGAATGCAGCGTATATTCCCTGATTGAGAAAGACTGTCTGGGGCCGAGATATTAATATGTATTATCTTATCGTTTAGTTATAGTTTCTTATAGCTTCAAGATTGGAGCAAGCTCCTGAATGACGGCAAGACCATTACTGCTACATTCGTGTTCTATTAGCCAATCAAGAGGCAGACTTAGAGGCTAGAACAGCCGGTTTGGGCCGGGGCACATATATCAGGAAGGCACATACTCTGACCACACTATGTGAGGATACTCGCCGACCATGTACATGCAGGAAAACCATTAAACAGCCACGATAATGTCCCGGCAGAGTTCCGTCGACTAGTTATAGATAATCAACGAGAATAAGAAAAGAGATAGTGGAGGGAACGTGATAAGATATAGAATTACAAGAGAAGGAGATATAAGTCTAATAACTCCCTACCTATTACTACTAGTTTGTATAATTATAATATTCCTGATATAGTGTTCCTAATATCGTCACTTAAGTGGGATTTATTAAGTGAAGATGTAATTAGAGCGTATAGTGTGTGGCGCTGTACTCTAGGCGTTCACACACACACTTCTATTTGATCATCAGAGATTCGATCACTATATTTCTAGCGATTGACGTACAATTATACGCATTTGGTCGTGCGTTGTAGTTCAGTCCGGTGTCGTGGGGAATCCCTGTGCTTGACACATCCACGACAATGTGGATACGGTTAGGGGCTATAGGCGAGCTAATGCATACCGCGGCTAGATACCTAGTCCTGGAGAACGGAGCTCTGGAACCGTTCAGCATACTCGGGCCTAGATACATTTCCTCGGTGTTCGAGACAAGGACGCGCCCTACAGGCGGCGGAGTCTCCTTAACCCGTGTCCCATATATAAATGCTTCTTGGACGGTAGGCTCGGAAGTCATTTATCTGTCAGGATTCGTCCCCTCTCACCTCCTTCAGAACCTAAGACTATTATAATTAAGGTTATAGAACCCTTAGATATAACTATATTCTAAAAGATATATAGGTAGTTAGATATTCTCTATTTAGTTAGCTAATAACTTCGCTATATATTAACTGGTCCGCTCTGAAATAACCCGACACCGAGATGAGAAGTTGCTGAGTTACTGCACCAATGGGGTAATATGGCGGGTGATATCCTCCGGGTCAAAGGCGCCATCAGTGACAGAAGCCAAGAAAGCTGCGCCTAGAATAATATATTAGAGTTGGGATCAACGGAAATGTTCTATTTGGTTTCTGCAAGGAAGCCAGGACACATACTGGGAACCAAGCACACGCCATGGTATTGTTTAGACCCAAGATCCTGGCCGTCGCCGCAGCCACCCTCGTCGTCCCCGCCATTGCAACTCTGAATGCCATTGAGAACTCTACCCACTACACGCTCAGAAATGACAGACTTCAGGTCGCGGTAGCCAAGTCCAACGGTGCGGTAGTCGACCTATTTCTCGATGGTCAGGACTTGCTCGGGCCCGTCTCTGGCAACGCTGGCAAGGGTCCTTATCTCGACTGTTCGTGTACTCCGTCGGGATTCTGGACACCCGGAGGCTCTGCAAAGTTTCAGCTTATCGAAGGAATTGACTCGACGGGAACAGCTTACGGGGGAATTGTCATGGGCGACACTTTTGCGCAGACGAACCAAAGCCTGTACCAGTACTGGTTTCTAAGAGAAGGGGAAACAGGGCTGCATATGTTCTCGCGGGTCACGTACTTCAACGAAGCGACCCCTTTTCTTCGAGGCTTGGGGGAGTTGCGTACACTTTTCCGTCCTAATACTGCTCTTTGGACGCATCTCTCCAGTGGTGACGGCCATTGGGCGCCCATCCCATCCAAAGAGGCATACTCCAAGGCCATCACCGTCCAAGATGCCACGAGCTATCTCGGAAACACACCCACAGATAGTTACGTCTCGCAATACTCGGATTACTTTACCAAGTATAGCTTTGCAGAAATCTTCAGAGACCACAAAGTCCACGGGCAATACTCAGATGGCTCAACAAGTGATGACGGTAGCACCTTTGGTGCGTGGCTGGTACTAAACACAAAAGAAAGCTACTACGGTGGTCCGCTACATTCTGACCTGGTTGTCGACGGCATTGTTTACAACTATATCGTATCGGGCCATCATGGTGCTCCAGTCCCGAACATCACTCATGGATTCGATCGCACGTTTGGACCGCAATTCTATTACTTCAACAAGGGAGATTCCGGGACGCCGCTGGAGTCTCTGCGGGCTGATGCCGCCCACTACGCCGATCCAGAATGGAATGTCGAGTTCTACGACAGTATCGCTCAGCATGTGCCCAACCTTGTACCATCCGCAAAAAGAACGACGTTCAAGGCCAGTATCAAGCTGCCAGGAAATGCTAGGCGACCCATTACCGTTCTTTCGGAGAATAACCAAGACTTTCAGCTGAATGTTTTTGACACGGGATCATTTCAATATTGGGCGGACGTGAACGAAGCGACAGGATATGTAGAAATTCCTCGTGTCGTGGAAGGGACCTACCGCTTGACTGTTTATGCAGATGGCGTTTTCGGCTGGTACATTCAGGACGACGTTTCAATCTCCCGGTCGGATACCGATGAGTTCAGTGTTGACTGGGTAGAGGAATCAGCCGGCAACGAGGTCTGGCGAATCGGTGATCCAGACAAATCGGCAGGCGAATACCGTCATGGCTACCAACTCGATGCTTCTAAACCTCTCCAACCTCCAGAATATCGAAACTACTGGGGAAACTGGGACTTCGTCGACGATTTCCCTGAGGGCGTCAACTTTCACGTTGGGGAGAGCAGCGAGGAATTGGATCTGAATTACATCCACTGGAGCGCGTTCGGTGGCCGAGCAGACTACGTAAGGCCAGAGCCCGTGTACGAAAACGTGAACAACTGGACCATCACCTTTGACCTGGAAGAGCGTCAACTTGAGGGAGCCAAGCTTGGGACACTGACGGTGCAGATCGCGGGGACCAAGACGGCAAACGGGAACGACAAATGGGGAGGCAACTTTCACCAGTGGAGCAATCTCCCGTACACGGTCAATCTCAACAACAAGGACGAGCAGACTTGGGTCATACCGTACTGGCGAAGCGGATCTTGTGGAGTGCGGAGCAGCGTTGTGTGTCAAAACATTGAGCACAAGTTTGTTTTTGGCGCGGACCGGTTTCAGTCGGGGAGAAACAAGCTTGTTTTGAGCTTGCCATTTAACGCGACAACCCAGGAGAGTGCCCTGATGCCCGGATCTGTCTATGTACAGTACGATGCCTTGAGACTTGAGCTGGGCTAAAAGGAACAGTGCTATGAGGTTTGGAGGAGATGATTGATGATGGGATCATGGAATTAGCAGACCACTCTAGATTATAAGTAGCTACTCCTACAAGCTGCGTATTACATTCTCAAAGGTCTCCTGATACTTCGTAACCTCTCACTCTTTCCTTCTTTACCAGGTACTCTGCATTCCTTGCTCTCTTTTACCTGACACTTTCTTAGACGAAAAAGAGAGTAACCGTGTATTCTGAATAGCACTCACTCATCTGACATGACCTCAATTTCAACGTCGAAAACGGCATTCTTGCCTTTTTGTTGGTACTGCGCAACGATCGGCTCGACCAACATCCTCATCTGTCCTTTCACGTAGGCAAAGGCATCCTCATCCGTAAGATCCAGGCAGCTCTTCAAGCACAAGTCGGGGCCAGTCAAATGAAGAACAAGCTTGCGGGTCGAGAGTCCCAGTTCCGAAGGGAGATCGGCCTTGATCTCCGAGAGGGACATCTCGTGCAGACTCTTGCGGGGTTTCCAGATCTCGACACTGTAGGGGCTTCGAGAGTAAACCACGCGGTACCAAAAGGCAGCGCGAGGCCGGTGAGCGTCTGATCTGTCCTCGGTGCTGGATGGTCGGGGGCGTTTTCGTGCGATCGGGCTTGGGTTGGCAGAGGCACCAAGTGTTGAGGGCTTGCGGGGAGAGATGGCCAGTGTTGTGTCGTGGGATGGAGGCTGACTCGCTTCTTGGACCTTGGAAGCTCCTAAAGCGTTACCACTGGGACGCTGGGTAGATTTGGTTGGCGAAAGCACAATTTCCTGGCTTGTCTTTGTGTTGCTTTCAGATAGATCGGGGTTCTTCGTCGGGCTGCAAGTCCTGACGCTTGACTTGCGGTATGTCTTCCCCTTCAGAGCGGACTGGAACAGAATCTGGGTTATGAAGAAATGGATGCTAAGAATGAAGAGATCAGGATGTATGCTATGCACATGAGAGGCAAGGATTTGCTCACAGGTCTTGATGCTTGGCCATGGTAACCCCATTACGGACCTCCTTGGAGTCCTCGCTGCCCCAAAATTGTAGTCCGTGTCGGTCGATAAATTCGGAAGCAAAAGCTTCAAATTTTGACAAGCATGTCGGCGAGTGCCAATCAGCAATCTGAGTCGGGAGTTGGGTGTCTCCTGTGAATCTTTCCTTTCTGAAAGTTTGCAATGCATTGCGGAAAGCACTTCTGCGAACGTGATTGGAAAGCGTGCCGTCGAGCGCGCGCTCTTTGCCAAACCCCAGTTCGTGATATAGAACCTCGATGGGCGGCATGGGCAAGGACCTTAGAGAGACGCGCTTGTCGGGAACATCCTTCTTGATGATTTGGCTGAGATAGGTGACTGAAAATCGAGAGAAGGGGTATGATGACTCTCTAACCACCAACACCTGCTCATCATCGACCCCTTTGGCTTCCTCTTCCGGGTCGTCCATTTTGGAGAATATGCGGGAGTAGATGCTCATTGTTAGAATGTTAAACAAGCGAGAGACATAGTTGTTGCGGCAGCCAGAATGAGAGTGAGGTTGATGTGGCAGCAAGAATATGTAAACAAGAATCCGCGGTCACTTATTTCACTTCGCAAGTTCAAGTGATTGTGCGTAACAACATCAAGTCTTACACGGTGTTCCCTCGAGCGTGCTGGTGAGAAAGATACATGGCGGAACGCACCGAGTTGCACCAACGGCGAAGTACCTAACTCAAGAGCCAGGCCATGGCACTCAATGTCTACCTACTTGCCCCAATTCTCGTGACAGCCGCGAGATTTGACGCGTCAAACCGTGTTCTATCAACTAAACAACGCGTTCAAATCTCCCCGCGAGTGCGGACGAGTGCTGGCTGCTGCGTTTATCTCTCATCAAGCAGTCTCAAAACTCTCACCTCATCGACCTCATTCTTGGCATCCACAATTAGTGTCATTAATCATTTTGTTTTTCTCAGGTCAGCCCAAACGTTTGGCTTCCTGGTATCCCTGGCTATGCTTGCTCTGATCTCTGTCAAAATTAGAGACATCTATTGCAATAGGATATCTTCCCTGCTGTTGTAATCAATTTATCACTAGAACATCTCTGCTACTACTAAAACTACTGCCTATTTCTAGCCATTCTCTTTGGATAGCACATAACTCTAACCGTCAAGGTATTACATTACCTCTCCAGATGACCTTTCTTGCTAACCAATGTTCTCCTTATAGATTTTTATGACTTCGAGACCTTTCAAAAAGGGCTATGATTCATCAAAACCCATTACCTGACTCCAGCCATGTCAAAGACATCTCCCCCACGCTAAGGTAGGTAGTTGTGATCCAGGGAGCTGTGCCATTTCCATGATCGGGACACAGGGTAGCCCAAGCATCTCGGCCTTAACGCAAGTGCATGTAAGCTTGTATGAGCCCAGGCTCAATGAGTCACAGGTGCCCCAAATAATAAAACTTGAACTCTGTCATACTAGTTAACCATGGACTAACTCATGCGGCCTTTGAGCTACAATATGCTATCTCATGCACACTAGCAGGCATCGGAGTCGCCCGGAGTTTTTCTCGACTACGCCTTCTCCAGGCTTCAGCGTGGGATTTGTTAGGCAACAGGCTGTGCCCTCTTTGGCGGATCCACAGCATCCCTGAATGCTTCATGATTGGTCATGCATGAGACCTAAACTCTGACAATGCTGGTCGATCCGTAAGCACAAGGCGTAGGACTGGAAGGCAAGGCATGAGGGGTCAACACTGACTGCGCCACGGAGATATTTACTTCAAGCAGTTTCCTTTACCTTGTTGGCTTCACAGGCAGTGTGCTCGGCATCAACTTGGGTTGGCCGACATAGCTGGACTACTACTGCTATTTGTCAAACGTCTCTGGAAACATAGCTGGACCTGAAATCAGTGCCAGGCATGTCAGCAGCCAACGCCCAAACTCAGGGAGAGCCCGGGACTGGCACAGTCTCTTCGGACCATGAAGACGCCGTGATCATAGGTCGCGATGATGTGAGTGATTTCAATGAGGAGAACATCCTTCCTCAACCCGCCCATGTCCAAGAGGCCATCCGAAGCTGGCTCAAACCCACCTCTTACGACGCCGGAAATGGAGAATTCAAGAAACATCTGTCTTCCTACCTGCCAGGCACCGGAGAGTGGCTGTTGCAGTCGCCCACATTCCGTGAGTGGCACCAAAGCCAGGACCAAGGAATGCTCTGGATCAAGGGGATCCCGGGCTCTGGCAAGTCTGTGATCGCGAGTTCTCTCGTGAACCATTTGTCCAAAGAGGGCGCACCGGTGCTCTACTTCTTCTTCCGCCAAATCATCGGCGCCAACCACAAACCTGACGCCTTGCTCCGCGACTGGCTCGCGCAGTTGCTCAGCTACAGCCCTCCACTGCAGGCCCGGCTCAAGGAATGTGTCGACAACCGCCAGTCGCTGAGCGGCGTGTCCATGGCCACTATGTGGCAGGATATCAAAAGCGCAGTGACCTATATTCCCAAGGTGTATTGTGTCGTCGATGCGCTGGACGAGATGGACAGCAACCAGGATGCCTTCTTGCAGGCCCTGGCTGAGCTTGGAAGATGGCGCCCGTCCCGCCTCAAAATAATCATCACCAGCCGCCCTGTCCCCAAGGTAGAGCGGCCACTGCGGCAGGAGCCAATCTTGCATATCAGACTTGATGAGAAGCATGTCGATGAGGATATCGCCAACTACGTCGCACATCATCTGGATAAGACGCCAAAAGTTCTCACCCCAGAACAAAAAGAGATCATCAAGCGCGCAGTTCCAGGACGCGCCAATGGTCTGTTTCTGTATGCCAAATTGGCCATGGACGCCTTTTTGGAAGAAAATGCCGACGTCGAAGAGGTGCTGAAAACACTGCCGCTAGATTTGAACGTCATGTACACGGACTTGCTTCGCGAACATGCGCGGCGATCTGGCGTTCCTCACGACCTACAGCTTCTCATCTTGTCGTTTGTCACACACGCTTCGCGTCCGCTGCGACTCCTTGAGATTGCCGAGATGATTAGAGTCACCGAAGAGGCACAGGCCAAGGCGATTGGTAGCCTAGAAGCTCTCAAGGACCTTGTCAGAGCGGCCTGCGGCCCTTTGCTGGAGATTCTCCCCGATGAGACCGTCTGCGTCATTCATCACTCCTTCACTGAATTCTTGAATGGTTCTACGCGCAGCGCCGAGTCTGATGGCGATGCTTATCCCATCTTGGAGACGAATTCTACACACAATCGGCTATCGCTATGTTGCCTGTCGTATCTCCTCTCCGGCTGCTTGCAGAAAGTCAAGCTGCCCGATGATGATGACTACGAATCGGATAGTGAATGGGGTGATCACTATTATGTGATGCCTGCTGTCAACCAAGAGCTCCGCTTGACTTATCCATTCCTCGCATACAGTATGCATAACTGGCATGTTCATGGAAGGAAGTCCAACGACAGTGGCCCCTTCTCGGATGAGCTTTATGACACCACCTACAAACTCCTGTCCGAGGAAAACTATACACCTCTTTCGGTGCTGGTTGACAATGGCGGTAGCAAGAGGGAACCACTGCACACCGCTGCCTTGCTGGGATTGAGCCAGTACCTGACCAAGTTTGTTCAGGGGAATAACATTGATGTGAATTCACTTGACAAAGGGGGCGAAACTGCCATCTTCTACGCCGCTAACGCAGGGCGTGCGAGTGTTGTCAAAGCGCTGCTCGGCTTTGGCGCAAAGCCAGATGAGCCGTCCAACTATGATGGCAAAAGGCCTCTTCACAAAGCCGCCGAGAGAGACCACGGGGAAGTTGTGACCTTGCTTTTGGAAGCGGGCGTGGACCCCTTGACAAAGAAGACGAAGTGTGATCCGGGCCTCATGTGCGGCGACCCGTACAAATTCATCGGACACACCCCGTTGATGTATGCCATGAGCTCTGGGAGTACCTCGGCAGCCAGGGCGTTCCTCCCCTTCCTGAACACTGTAGATATGGCTAGCAGGGCGTTGGGCTGGGCGGTGGGAAGTAGGAGCGAGCACTCGCGGGGTTGTCCTGGGATTCTTGATGAGCTGCTCCAACACCCGCTCGTTGATGTTAACCGCCTAGTTCGTGGGGAAACACCACTCTATATTGCATCCCGAAACCCCAATACCAAGCTTGTCATTACCCTGCTGGAAGCTGGGGCAGACCCGAGTATCTTGTCCTCCTCACAGGGGGAGGAGTTTTGTCGGGAGCGCAATCGCCAGCGAATGGCGGAGAAGCGCAAGGATAAGAACCAGACCGCTTTGCACGGCATCTGCGGCGCAGCACGCCGTTACATCATGAGCTCTAAAGACAAAGATGATGAGCCGGAGCTCTTGCAAGAGTGTGTATCTCTGATGCTCAAAGCCGGAGTCGACATCGATGCCAAGGATGCAAAGGGTTGCACCGCTTTGCACTATGCTGTTCGTTGGTGGCCGACTCTTGTCCGGGCCCTGATCAGTGCTGGGGCGGATTCCAACATTATGCGCAGTGATGGAAGTGCTCCTCTACATGCGTGTCAGTCTATCGAGAGTTTCCGGATATTGGTCGAGGAGGGGAAAGCAGACATCAACCATCAGAGGGAGTCGGATGGCAAAACTCCCATATTGATGATGACTGACATGTACAACAAGCCCAAAGGCTTCTTTCCAGATCTGATCCGTCTACATGTTGATTTAGGGGCAGACCTAACACTAACCGCGCATGATGGGCATGGAGTTTTACATGACTGGATATCTCGGGCACCGGATCTGAGCGTTGAATATGAAATTGAAGCCCTGGAAATGCTACTGTCATCAGGAATTCAGCTCAACAGTACGGACAAGCAGGGAAAGACCGTGATGCATTCCCTGAAAGGTCTAGGGAATGGTCTAGATCTGACATTGAAACTGGTTGCTGCGGGAGCAGACCTGAACATCAGAGATAAACAAGGGCGTACTCCCATGTACTACTTTGTTCAGGATGCCCATAGGAATCTGAACAAGGAAAAGTTTGTCGCGGCACTCAAAAAGCTGATCTCTATTGGGACGGAGCTTGACGTTGTTGACTACCGGGGTGGCAATCTTCTATTCGCCTTCATGAATGTCGGCCAATTTGGGCGAGACACGATGACGGTTATCCAGGAGCTAGTCGACCGAGGACTCGATCCAAGAGCCATAGACTACCAAGGAAACACACTCTTCCACGAAATGGTAGGACAGACGACCAGGGATTTTGACAGCCGTTACCTGGAAGCGCCCCTAACACTGGGTGTTGACCCTGACCAGCAGAACTTTGCAGGTCAATCCGCACTGCATTCTATGGTTGCCCCAAGGAACCATGAACCTGTCCAAGGCCTGAAGCATTTCAAGCACTTTGATGTGCAAGACATGAACGGCATACGCCCTCTTCATGTGGCAATTCGGTCCTCCGAGGATCTTGTACACGAACTTCTCTCAAAGGGGGCCAGCCCGACCGAGCCTACCGAGGAGGGAGTGACTCCCCTGCATGTCGCAGCCCGTTTCAGGAAGCCAGACATTGTTGGCCTACTTCTGGAAGCCATCGAGGCCAAGCTGGGGAAGCAAGGCTTAGCCGACCATCTGAACACCTTCCATAGCCAACGCACACCCACAGCTCTTCACTTGGCCTGCCGCTCTGGTGTCCCCGAGGCGGTTTCTCTTCTGCTTGCGGTAGGGGCGGATCCAAATGCAAAGACCAGCCAGGTCGGAACGCCACTGGAGTGGTGTATTCAATACGAGTCGGAGAAAGCTCTGTGGAAGTCTGACGAGGATCCGTATTCCTCGCCAAGTGACTCTTCGCAGGATCGCTCTGGATTTGGCCCCCCACGCGGAATCAGCATTGATGATCATACACGCAATAAATTAACCAAAGACGACCAATGCCCAACTCAGTTGGAGAAGATCTTATCCTTGCTGCTTGCCCATGGAGCTGATATGACGTCCCGAACAGACAAAGGGTTAACAAAACTGGACCAGGCAATTATCAAATGTGACAGCTCCCACGACTACACAATTGATTGCCTGGTGCGTCTACGTCAGTCCATCTCACATGACAATACTGATGATACACTCGCCACTGCCGCTAAAACGGTAGCGAAGACGAAAGACATCAAGACATACGTCCACTCGTTGATTGATAATCCAGAAGGGTTCTCATTGGATGTTGTCAATAAGATTGTTACGAGCGTTTCAAGACGTTTAGCTGCCCATGAAGCCTTTCTCCAGGTCGCACCATGGAAAAAATTCCAGACATCTGAATTGGATGTCAAGCTGTTCGTTGCATTCCTTAGGAATTTGATGGAACAACATGATTGGGACTCTGTAAAGCATGTCTTGCGCCAAGAACCACGTCTTTTAGATACAGAGTCTGGAGTAGGTATCCTATCTAAGCTTGTCAAGTTGGGCATTGAAACCATCGTTGGCGCAGCTGTCACGCGGGAGGAGATTCTCCAACTACAAAGTGACAGAGACGAGGCGATTCGGCAATCTAAGCAGAAGGGCAAACCACTACTAACTGGTCGTCAAAAATCATTTTATCCGCTTTTTTCCGCCTGCGAATCTCCAGCAGGGAATATGACGATGGTTCGATATCTCGTTGAGGAACTCGGCGTGGATGTCAACGATGGATTCTACAGTTGGCCCAGCTACCGCCAAAACGTAGTCGAGTACGAGAGGGTCAACGATGCCGTCAATAAATGCTGCAGCGGAGACCATTGGTGGCAAGTTGCAGAGGCCCTGCCGTATCTTCTCAAGCAGGGTCCCAACCTTGAGGCGCGCGATGTCTGTGGCCGGACTACCCTCCTCTGGGCTCTCGGCTGCTCATCGAACTACAAGCTCCGGATTATAAAGACACTCATAGAAGCTGGAGCCGACGTCAACGCAGTTGATAACAGCGGCCGCAATTGTCTCTCCACCGCAGGCAACGACATCGATCTGACGCTACTGCTCCTTAAGCACGGGGCAGCCGGTTCTACTGAAGCCCTCACCAGCTCAATACGAAGCTGCAACATCCCCGTTCTCCAGGCGCTTCTGGATGCAGGTGCCAACCCTAACCAGTTCCAAGCACCGCCAGAGGGATTGCCTTCCATCAGCGCCGGGTGGATATCAGCCACGCAATCTGAACTTCCCCCGGTGTTCTTTGCCGCGATGCACCGTCAGATTGTCGGGTATGGGAGCACAAAGAGCAACCCTGCGCGTGAGTCCATGGTCAAGGTTTTACTCGACCATGGCGCAGACCCTTTCACTACATTTGTCAAGCGTAGCGAGCCCCAGGATGACGACTTCATGACCGAAGTCACCGTCCTCCATCAACTCCTGCGAGAAGGTGGTGCAAGCCGCTTGTTCTTGGACATGCCCGATCTTGATCTTGAGTACCGGAATCAGGAAGGTATGACGTTGCTTCTCGCGGCGTGTAGCAGCAGAACCGACCCAGATGTCCCTATCGAGGATGTGTATGGAGGTTACCGAAGAAACATTACCCAGGTGGTAGTCAACGACAATCCAGAGGCCGGAGGTCTTACGATTATTGAGAAATTGCTGGAACGGGGAGCATCCATCACGGCACGGGATAACCGACAGAGGAACGCCCTTCATCTGATTCTCAGTGTGCCTTCTTTTGCGGGCTATAAATCTCTGCGCCTTGTTCTCTCAAAGGCACCGGAGCTACTGCATCAAAGTGATATTGACGGACTGACTCCGTTCCATTATGCGCTTCGGCGGACACCGCCGGGCCAATTATTCGGGCAGTTTGGGGTTGACACAAAAGCCATTGAGATTCTCCTTGAAGCTGGGGCTGATCCGAAACTACCAGATCCAAATGGTGACTCGGCACTTCATCATGTTGGAAAGTTCCTTGCCTGCGACGGCCGCATTGAAGGCCAAGTTGACAAGCCACGGGAATTGTTCAAGCATCTTGTTTCTCGAGGTGTGCCAATCAACTGCCGCAACAACAAGGGTGAGACGCCAGCGTTTTCAGTCCTCATCTTTCCTCCGGACAATAGGTTACACGGTGTATCGGTTCCTGAAGGAGAGCTCAAGGCACAGGAGACACTCATCGAGATGAAGGCCGACTTGCTTGCTGTGAACAACGCTAGAGAGACCTTGCTCCATGTGGTGGCCAGAACAGACCCGCAAACAAAACGAAACCAAAAAATGGTGACCCCAGTCATAGAGTGCCGTTTCCGATGGCTGCTCGATCAGGGCCTTGACCCAACGGCTGAGGACGAAAAGAGTCGGACTTGCTTGGACGTTGCTGCGGCGAAAGAAAATACTAAGATCCTCGACATGTTTAAGCGGCCGGGGGAGTGATGAGTCAATGAGCTGATGCGATGTGGAAGCATATTTTAGCGATAGTATATGACATCAATAAGTCAATTATTGGAAAAAGCACTGGAGCAAGATAGGTACGCTCTAGAGGGGCTGAACTCGCGAGATATGATGTTGATGTCGTTCCAATAAATCCAGTCGTCTGCAATGTCTCTGATGCCGTCTTTCTCTTTTTCTCCGTCCAAAATAAATTTAAGGCCTCTTAATGCTACCAAAGACCTAGTGGTGTCTAAATATCTCTGTATGATGTGGTTAACGAACGGCAGAACATCAACACTGCCTCCAGTATTCCGCGTCTTTCATCCCTGACCCAGTCTACCAATAGTATAATGATGGAGAGGGAACATCAGGCCCCTACCAAAGATCACTCATAGCGTAGCATTGATCAGCCTGGAGCGGTCTGCACCTGATTAGGCAGCACTGCATGCATCAGTAAGCTGCACGGACGAGCATAAGCAACCCCATCCGTGATTTCCTGACCGCAGCGTGAGAACCCTCTTTCTTGTCGACTTCCTTTCGTCTCTTCACGCCGAGCCACGTTGATAGATTTCTCCTTGAATAGCCATTGACAACCCAAAAATGTCTCTAAATACTCTACCTCTCGAGATCACCCAGCAAATCGTTGGGGATGCGGCACCAGACGGGTTCGAAAGTATCGCTCTCACCTGCAAGTCACTCTTCCGTGACTGCCAACCCCTCATCAATGATTACAACCGAAAGAGACGGCGTTTCTGGTCCTTTCGCTACTCTCGCCACTCCGCTGATGTTGCCTGTGACGTTCACGGTGACAAGTCAACCTGCGATCGTCTCCATCACTGGGATGATGTCACTGCTACCACTGGATTCAAAGTCACCGACATTTTCGACCTCCTTGCTCTTGTTTTGAGAGACCCTAGCATCGGCCGCTTCATTCATTCGCTTGACTTGAAGCATCACCGTGTTCTTCTTCCTTTTGGCCACCGTCCTCTTGCCAACCGCAATGCAGACAATATTCGAGGTCCTTATCCTGAGTTCGGCGAGGAGGATGAAGCCAACATTCGCCGGTTCTTGTCAGATCCAGTATTCGGGGAAGACTTTCTGGAAGATCCCTCCACCTACAACTTGGATAGGATGTCTATAGTTGAGGCCGAGATTTGGCTTCTCAACTTCCTGCCCAATGTCAAGGACATAGCCCTTTCAAAAGCCTGGGCGTACACGATCCCTCCAAGCCGGCTGAAGCAGTTGGAAGCGATCGCGCAACGCGCCAACGACCCCAAGAAAACTGAAGCTTCCCTGTCACAGCTGACCGTCATGAAGCCGTTTGTCGGCCATGGCTACATATCCACCGCACCGCTTTCCCAGCTCACGTCTTTTCTCACTTTGAATTCGCTCCAAGAATTCTATATGGGCGGGATTGAAGCATGGGGGACGAACCTCGCGGAGAACTATTTCACCGCCAATAGCTTCGGTACTGGTCTCACCAAGATCGAACTGAACGGGTCATGCATTGGCATACCTGAGCTGTCTGAGCTGCTGGGCCTGACGCCAAATCTGAGATCCCTGTGCCTTGGTTTAGAGAGCAAACCGAATGGTTCCGGTCGCAGCTACGACATTGGCCACATAATCTCCATTATTGGATCTCGGGTTGGCGACGTGATTGAGGAGCTGGCAATTGTCAACCATCCGCTGCAATGGCACACCACAAGCCCAGCTAGCATGAGCGCCTTCCAGCGTCTGAGACGCTTTGAGATTGACATACGTTCCCTCTGGGCTGGTCCGACCTTCCAGGGTGAAGGTTCTTTTCAGCAAGGCTCCGGCTGGGTACCACTCCCTCTTGTCGATATACTCCCGCCCTCGCTAGAGACTGCGAAGATCTATTCCCAAAATATCACGGGAGAGGGCGAAGTCGTTGCGAACATTTCCAACTTGCTCCTTGGCTTTCGAGATGAGCGCCACTCCAAATTGCCCCGGTTAGTTGATGTTGATCTTATCTCTCCACACCCTGGCAGAACGCCGCGAGGGTCGCGTCTTTTCGACGCACTGAGACTCGCCACCGAAGCGGGCTTGCGGGTTCATCATGATGAATCACGCCAATGCCAGCCGACTTTCACATGGACTTTCAATTCACGATTTATGGTAAATGATGCTGAGCGTGATAACCGCCTGGACACTTCACACATGTAGTATTTCCCAAGCAGAGTAAATTTGAGAGAGGCGAAAGTAGTAGTTGGAGATGCAAGGATTACGCTGTTTCGAAAGCTATACAAGAGCAATATTCAGTCCCAATAAACCCATTTTGTTGTTCCAGTTGCCTTGATTTCTCTTTGCCAACAATTCTTTGTTAATACAGATACTGATCCCGCGAGTGGAGGAGTGTATTCACAATAATTTAGAATATGGATTGCCAAGAAGACAGAAACAGGATAATAGAGCAACTCAAGGCGATTGGATCTAACAATATGATTGATTACCTTATGTTTTGAAATTTTGCCACCCCCAGTTTAATGTTTTGAGACGTATCTGGCTGCCCTGCATTAACTAGATATTGTGCTAAGCTCGTGTTAAATATATTTCCTATAGACTCACGTTGCAAACTGAACTCGTAACGCAGTGAATTTTCTAAAATCTAAGCTAATGTTGCCTGTAATCATGGTGGCAGCTCCCCAGGCCGCATCAAAATTTAGAAGCATATAACGGATCATCCCTTTCTAAGGCATAGAGCGATCTTGAGCGAGGGTCTAGGACCAGCATATCACCGCATCATGCTCATGTACTTCTCTAGTATCTTCAAACGGTATCACCATCCATACGAGCATCCCCAGCGTGTCCAGGCCCCCAGCCCGTCTCATCACCTCCGGCAGTAGCTCAGGAGTCGTCGGGCCTTTGCCGCTACATGATCTGCTCACGCCGCCAGACTCCAAAACATCTCCTACCGTGAGCACCTTGTCCGAGGTCCTCGCTGCGATGTTCTTCTTGTAGTCCCTCGTCCACACCCTACTCGTGCGAGCCTCCCACAAGTCGCGGCTTGACGGGAGCGGTATCGATCGGAAGCTGCTCCCAGGAGCGGGTGTGCAGCCACCGCGTACAAAACCATCGAGCAGCCTCGCAACAATGTGCATGACTGCAAGAACTCTGTAGTCGAGATCAGTCACGGAAAATAACAGAGCCACATCGACGAAAGTCGCCATCTGTGTGACTGCAGATGCCAGCACACAGTACGCACCTCCGTATGCTCTCCCTAAACACCCATTCGCGCCGATTTGAGACGGCGTCTCGTGCGTCAGTTGCCCATTCGTTCGTTCGCGCCATATGTTCAACGAAGCACTTCGCACCAAAAGGGGCAATGATATGATTAGTTTACGCATCTTGAGGTGAGGTAATTAGCCGGAACCAGTTGATGCGAGAATATCTTACCACAACGGTGTTGAGCAGATCCTCTGAATTATGAGTCTCAACGGTGCTTGGATCTGATGCCTGCAGAAGAAAGAGTACCATGGCTGATTGTATGGCAGCCAGTTGCTGCGTTGAGGAGAACTTAAGGTACTACAGGATAGGAACGGTGAGTATTTTTGGCTCGGAAACTTGTCGATTTCTGGGCGTCAAGAGTCTGTAAAGCGTACCTCCCGTTGAAGCCTGGCTTGCTCCTCATAGATCAAAGTCCAGACGAAATCCGTATTGGCCTTGGTACGCTCGTAAAACATCTGCACCAGACTCGCACAGATGGCTAGTTCTTGAGGCAAGCACTGGTGACGGCTCCTCTCTCCGCAGCCAGGGGCCAGGTCGTTGTCAATGTGACACGGTGCATGGATGAAGGGGGGCAGTTGATCCCCCTCAATCATCATCTTTGGGTAGCTGGTGACTTGGCCCAGTAGGATCGAGTTCATCGTACACGATCGGAACAGGGGTTTCATCAGAAGAGGGCGACATGACGAGCCGTTCTTGTCAGCAGCGGCCGTCGTGGTGGTGGTTATAGTTGAAGTGAGAGCGGCAAGATCTTTTTGAGCGGTGGCACTCGAGCTCTTCATGAGCTCCTGCACGGTCCATGTCCCATGGGAATACACGTTACTGTCCTCTGGCATATCTGCCGATACTCCCCAGGGCTCCATCAGGCCGGGGCTTATCGTCTCCTTTTCAGCGAAGATGTGTGACTGGATGTTTCCTAACGCAAAGGAATCCCCAGCGAAGTCAAGCTCCAGGAGGGGATCCACGCTGGGATCTCTTGCCAGCAGACCATCGGCAGTCCAAGCGTCGTCATGTGCTAGCTCAGCTACTCGCAGAGGCTGCTGCGTCTTGGCGGAAGACGAAAGCAACCGTGCAAGCGAGTCATCTTGTTGCCGTTGATCTCTGGGAAGCGCCAGAGGGTCCGTCGTCTCCTGGGGCATCAGAGACTGTAAGGCTACACGTGAGGGGTAAGGATAAGACGAGCCTGCGCCCCGGAAGCCGTTCCTTCCGTCGTACACGCATCTGAGCTTCCGCTCCGCGCAGCGGGAACACTCAGGGATCGCCCTGTCGCACCGGGCTTTGGCCTCTCTGCAGAGGAAGCAGGCTTTCGTACGAGATATTGGCATTGAGATCGATTCAAGACCCAAAGTTGAAAGAGTATTCAAGGTGTTGCCGACGTGGCAAGGTTTGCGTTCTCCCCCTGCTGGACGTCAAGTTTCGGAGTTCAGGTGGACCCCTCCGGAAAACCAATCAATTAGATCAAAGTAGAACTGGGCCTCATTTGACCGAGATGTCACTGACACCTTATTGCTACACGCGATGAGGGCATGGTCTCGTCGAGGGGGGTTGCGCCGGAGTTCGAGCGGAGACCCAAAAGCCTCCGCCGTGAAAGCGCCGGACTTTGGATACGGGTGCTGCAACATCTTCGCTGGAACATCATCTCCAGAGAGAGCAAAGTTGTGGACTCAAACGCCAGCCAATCTCGTCATCCTCGCCATGGTGTTCTTGGTGGTAAGAGATTATACGGATGGAGCAGATGTATAAAGGTATGCTATTAGAAGAGTATCACGACACTTAGGTCCCCCATCTCGGTAGTCTCATTCTCAAACGAAACATCCCATACAAGAACTTCCAAAGGCCTCTACATCATTTCCTCTTCCCAAGCCTCAGCATTCTCACTCACCATGGCCCCTATTCGTATTGGCGTCATAGGACTCACCGCTGACTTCAAACCCGGCGCCTTGGCCGGCCAATGGGGCATTATACATATCGCAGCCCTCAAAGCCTCACCTTTATACCAGGTCGTTGCCGTCTGCAACTCCACCGCCCAGTCCGCCGCCCGCGCCATTGCCGCCCATGGACTCGGTGAGCACGTTCGTGCCTACGGTTCCGCCGAAGACATAGCCGCAGACCCAGAGGTTGACATGATCTCGGTGGTCGTAAATGTTGACAAGCACTATGACCTCGCCAAGGCCGCAATTCTAGGGGGCAAGAACCTACTCATAGAGTTTCCACTGGCGTCCAACATGGAACAGATGGAGGAACTCCAGAAATTGGCCCGCGAGAAGGGTGTTGAAGTGGTGGTTGGCGCGCAGGCAATAGCGGATCCTGTGCAGCACAAGATCAAGAAGGTGCTCCGCGATGGCACCATCGGCGATGTTGTCTCGTCGTATTTCGATACGGCGCTTCTCGTCACCACAGCTGACGGATGGTCCGATGCGCTGGCGTTTTGGTTGAACATTGAGAGTGGCGGCAGTCGTTTTACCATCGGTCTTGGACACAGTCAGCAGCTCCTTCCCCTCCTTAAAGACTTTTTACCTCTTGGCTGACCTTTCCTTCTCCTCTACTTAGGTCTAGCGGGCTATGTAGATGCCCTTGGTGAGTTCACCACCGTACAGTCCATCTTCAAAATCCAAGATAAGACCGTCACACTCCTTGACGAAGCTGGCACCGTCACCGACCCAGCCTACCCCGTCACCGACCCAGCCTACCCCGTCACCGTGCCAGATACATTCCTTATTCAGGGGATCCTCCCCTCCGGTGGCATCGCCTCCTACGCCCTCCGCTCCGTCCGCTCCACTGTCAACGGCCGCGGCGGACGCTGGGTCATCAGCGGGACCAAGGGCGAGCTAGAGCTCACGTACAACCAGGGGATGATGTACCAGGGTGACCTAGGCAGTGGTGCGGGAGCAAAGCTACATGTAAAGACGTGGGGTGCGGAGAAGGCCGAGGAGATCGAAGTCGTGGATAAACATGAGGGTGCACATATCACCGACTTGCATGAGTTGGGTAAGAACACTGGAAGGTTGTATGAGGCCCTCGCAAAGGGTGAGAAGGATAGATATATGTCTATTGATGAGGCCGTAAGGCTTCATAAGTTCATGCAGCGCATTGCAAAGGGCGCCGAGTGGGCACCTTGAGCGATGCCTTGTGGTTGTCATATGTAGATTATTTAGCAGGGCGCACTAGATTAAATGTCTAAATCAAACTACATAACTAGGTCTCGCTAGATGTTTATATAAATACCGTGTATCCTATCACGCGCGATGTCCTAAAATACCCTGCAACCTACAGACTTCCGACCTTGTTCTAATAAACAACTGGCTCGATGTGAATTTGCAGTCTTCTTGATTTAATAAACACTTGAACACCAAGAGGCTCTAAATGCGAAGCCAAGGAGTTAAAACAATACATAGGGTGGCTGAGAGGTCTTGTAAAACATACAAAACTTATCACGCCTACTACCAAATGATCAGCCATGGTATTCCAACCAATTCTATCAACCTCAAGGACTAGAAAGCTATAATTCAACAGATAGGTACCTACGCACGCTAGGGGGGTCTCGGAGCATAGGTGTGTTTAGGGATCCTCGTAAGGGATTGCTGTAGCTGAGCCTATTTTATAACTGAATATATCTTTAGTTAGGCATTAAGAGTAAGGCTGCTAGTATAATTAAAGCATTATTTTAGAGGCTGATAGCTATACTTAAATAAAAATAATGTTTTAGAATGAGGATAGGAAAGATAGGTAGATTATATGGAAGGAGCAGCCCTTAGGGTAGTACCTTATGCTCAGTTATCAGCTTATCACGTGGTTAGGTGGATTCAGCTATTAACCTACTAATTTAACCCTCATGGAGGAGCGTCGCTCAAACGAACATTTTCGACGTGGAATTTGCTGACGCAGAAACAGCCAATACGTGCAGTCATCTCCCAGATGCACATTGTGCAGAGGTGTCCATGCCGCTACGCCACATGCAAACGATTCATTCATTCGCTTCCATATATATCCCTCGCATTCATAGCTGCATCGCTTTGTCATCTGACATCAGGTTCCATCACCAGGGGCAGCTAAGCACAAGATGGTTGATCCCAGGATTGCCGAGGTGCTAGATTTTACGAGGAGCGAGCGGTTCAATGAGCTACCCGATTTGAACAAAGCTCTGATCATTTATCTGCTTTATCGTCTATACAGGATATATCGACTCAAGAGGCTGCGGCGGGATTACGAAGCGAGTCTTGGACAGAAGGCGTTGGAACTGCCGCGGGTCACGCCTAGGAAAGCAAAGGCCAACATCAGGCGCCATACAATATCCTTTGCAAATGAACGTACGATGGGACGTCGAGATTTCCGCAACGTGGTGGCCTGGCTTGAGCAACGGCCTCTTAAATCAAGAGAGCGTCGCCAACTTCGATCACTTCGGATCCGTTCATGATGCTGAGATGAGGACGCTCCGAGCTGAGGGCCACGCACGGCGCACTTTCCAGGAAGCTCGTGCTTGCTTTACTATCACGGCCTGCTGCATGGGAAGAAACCTCACGTCATAGGTACAGTAGGGGAAATATATACATGGACATGAACCCCACGGGACACTACCTAGAATAATTGCCAGGACCACCCAACGGTGGTCTCCCGGCAAACCTTGAATTTGCCTCACGAGGCGCGAGCGGGGAAAATAAGGGAGCTGGAACATTGATCCAGCTCAGCTGAAGTCGCTGAGCAAGGCTCCGAATGGGATACACCAAGTCACGACGAGGGGAGATTTTTCTTCAAAGCTCAAATTATCTTCCATCATTGCTGGTAAACAATACAATGTTGTGATCTACCTCATTCCATATTATTATTTTGGCAAAACCTGTTGCTCGTAACGGGATAATCTATCAAATGAAAAGGCTCGACAGACAGAATGACAGACGTGATATTGAAGAAAGAAATAGCTAATTAACGGGCTCACACCTGTCGAAGCAGAATATTGATCGATAGTCAGGCACACTACTTGCACAGCACATCAAGTTGGCGGTCAAGTGACTCAAGAGTCATCATGCAGGGTTGCATCCTGTTGACTCAGTCGCTCAGCTCCCCCCAACAGGGCAGCGAGGAAGAAACCAGGGCGCCTGCCCATGTGCCAGCTCCCGTGTCTCTCATTCGCGAGCTCCTCCCAAGCTGGCCCGAACGGGCGCAAGCTCTCTAACACCGACTGCAATCCGCTGCGCCACATGCAAACTGCATTCCATCAACTGCTGTCTCGGAGCCCTCAGAGTCAGTCTGTCCAAGTCGCTTGCTTGCTAAGGAAACCGCATCGGAAATATGGTATTGCTATGAGAGGATGCACAATATCGCGTTCAGGAATGAATTTACTCGTGATGGAACCACGGATCTTAGCCACTACCTAGATCTCCTAGAAACCCGAGTTAGCCAAAACACCAGAGAGATATGCATTAAGAGCCACCACTAGCATATAAGCTTAACTGTCCTGTCCAAAACTCCACAATTGTGCATCTAGAGAGGCCATCCACTATCTTCCGCGTTCAGCCTCATCACAACCCACACACACAAGAAAGACCTCTGAGGCTGTGTTTAAGACGAGTTTCAGCTTGTGCATCTACTCCTTTAGTGTGGTTCGTGTGGGAGAAGCGGTCTGCCTCTCATAAACAGGATCCTGCCCTTCCACCTCTCTCCAGCCTCTCTCATGTCGAGCCAAATCCAACGACATATCCGTCCACCAGTACACACTGTGAACTCTCCTGCCCTACGCAAGCATATCCTACAAACGATATAGTTATGCGTGAGCCTCATCTAAAACTCAATGGCCTTGATGAAGAGGCAGGGGTCTGGGGTATTACCATGGACGGACCTGCTCGTCGAGGCGAACCTGTTCCAGCTGGTGAGCCAGCGTCAGCCATTCCTACGACGCCTCTCTCAATCGCAGAACCCGGTCCCGGAACGCCAGTTCCAAGCTTCCTTCTCTCCCCGCCTCTTGAGCGATCACCCAGCAGCCGTAGATCTGGCTCTCGTGAGTCTGGTCCATTACTTCGGCGTGCTCGCCGTAACACCGCCATCCCTTGGATGCCTCAATTGCCAAAACATTTAAAGTCGCCTCTTTTAATGGTAGTCTTCTTTCTTGTCGGTTTCGGGCTTAGCCTTGGTCACTGTATTTTCTATCCTCAGCTCAGCTCTCGCATTGTGGGTGATTCCAACCAGCAAGAAGAGAGACTCCGGTCAGCCGCAAACCCTCAATCCCACTTCGACGTCATCAGCCCTCTGACATTGAAAACACAGGATAGGAACTGCTCTGTCATTCCTGGCCCAAATGGCCTTCACTGCAGCTGTCTGGAAAGCCTACACCCAATGGCTATGGAGGGCAGTTGACCGGCATAAGAGTGAATGGACTGCCAGTGGGCTCAACGCGGCATTCAGCGCGGACACCTCGCCATTTGCATTCCTGCACTTGGGACTTCTTGAGAACTTCACACTTGGAGCTATAATGGCGTTCACTGCGTGGTAAGAAACCCTCTCATGGCTCTCAACGGCATATGCCCATGCTCTCAGCCATGTCGTTAACACCTTGCGCCCAGGGCTCTCATCGTCCCACCATTCTTTACGCCCGCGGCTCTCTACGTGTACAAGAGCACAAACGAGATCACTGCCCCGGGCGAAGTACCAATCCTCGCTATCGCCAACGAAACGGTCGGGGGCCACTTCGCTTACTCGCCTCCCCAGAATAGCGGCACTATCAAGTCCAAAGACGACAAAACCAGAATCTTGTCTGGTCCTCGAACCGTAGTGGCCTTGCTGGCGAGTGCCACGGCGTCTCGCGGAGAAATCTTACCAATTGAGCCCCCAAGCAACCATTCCGCATATTCGATCGGCTTCTTCGGGCCCATTATTCGGTGCGACAACGCGAATGATACAGTAGCTACCCAGATCCAAGGGCTCTTGCAAGAGCACATGGGTGTGATGAGGGGTTCCGCTGAGCAGATTGACAGCGCCTACTATGGCTTTGTTCCCTCATTTGGTGATGATGGAGAACTGGTTCCGCTTTCCCAGACTAAGTTTCGACAGCTGGGGATCATGGCGAATGAGTTGTGGATGACTTTCCAACGTTATGTGATCAACGAATCTGGAGAGCGTGTTCGAACTCGCATATCGCAGGTGTGCCGGCTACATAATGCGACATACGAGCTCACTATCAAATGGGACCGTGGGGTTCAGCTTATCAACCACACTTATGATATTCTCGAGCAGGTGGGTTATCCCGACGACCAGCCTGGCCAAGTTTCCAACATGGCCAAGCACGCCTATTCTGCGTTCATGTGGGCGTTGACAGACCAGCTTGTGGGGTCACTTGGTTGGTTCAGGGAGATTTCTAACCGCTCCGGCTCGAGGAGGCTTGCTCAGTTTGGGTCCATGGACTCTCCGCTTCGGCACACTAGCCTGCTGGGCAGCTCAGACCTGGATGTTTACTTTGACTTCAACTGGATACATAATCTCTACGTGCAAGATAACGAGACCGGGATGTCAGCTCAGCGGCGGCAGGATAAGGCGCTGGCTAAGAATCGAACACTTTCAGAGTTGATTGAGGACCTGAGCTTCAATCTCACAGTCAGTCTGATGCACAATAAGCTGCTCACGTAAGTCATCCTCGACATTTTCATTTATATGTGTTTGAGGTATAACCTGAATTTGAGTACTAATAATGATGAACGCAGATCCTCTGCAACTAGAGACGTGACCAGGTGGATTGATGTGAATCGATACGGATATGTGGCTACCTCGCTCTTCATTCCATACGGCCTGGCAAACTTTGCTGCCTTCTTCGCCCTCGTTGCCGGATTGTATTCATTTATCGCCCATGGCACCAACCCGGACAAGAAGTTCCAAGACATTGCCAACGCGGCAACGGAAAAGCCCATTTCAGATATTCTGAGCGATTATAAAGAGGACATAAAGCTGCGATCTAGCTCCTCATTTTCCCCCCCGGGCGCCTTCGTTCCAGATAGCCCGCCCTTCTGTAACAGTGTCTAGAGCCGAATCAACAGGAGTGGTGCAACCGACATGATTGGCATCATTGTTCGGAGTCTATTGTTTATTGGCGGGAGGTTTTGTAAGTGGCAAAGGGCGTCATGTGGTATCTATGGAACTAGAGGAACGTTGAGAGAGAGGCTATTAGAACCTAGTCTAGCTAGTTCTTCCAACTTTAAAATCTGATCTGTATAGGAAGAGAGGGGGTGATAAGAAAGTTCTCCTAGAGGCAAAAACTTCGCATACTAGGGTTCAAATAAATGCGTTATAAAGAGAGGCCTCTGATGACGCGAGCACACTTTCATCAAAAAAAGACTGGGATTCGGCAGACCCATGTTCGACGACATGACACACGATGTCACTCCAGGGGTGACTGGGGTACGCTACTGGCAAGAAAGGCGGTTATGAGCAGACCACTTTCAGTGATAACTAGAATAAAACGACAGGATAAGACGATGTATATTGGTAGTATTCAAGTAGTGCATTGCCACTTGAACATTTATTCTCATTAACCCTCAATAATCTGACAAGACTAGTCGCAGACTCTCGAAAGTAAGCAACAATGTTCTGAACGTCTCATCAGACTCAATGCCTCCCGGTTCCCCGGGTCCGCAGACTTTCAGTCTAGAACAAAACTGAGGGTCTTTCAAGACAGAAAGAAGATAAAGAAACAAATTTTCTGTTGAAAAATTATTTAGTCAATGCTTAGCTTCTGCCTTTAAATATCCGATAGCTCGTTTCCACGCCCTTGGCAGCGAATTGCGTGACCATCAGCCCCTCTTCAGATCCGAATCAGGCAAATCGGCCGTGCTAATTGGCCGCTGGTGTGTTTGCGCAATGGCGGGTCATCATCACAACATCACTCCATGTAAGTCAGTAGCGTCGGCTTGAGCCCGCGCAAGGGTGAATAACCTTATCCATTGGTTCGGCTTGTCAGAAAGCCACCGGCATTGCTACCCATGTCGTCCATGTGATATATAAGAAGCGGGCAGCCGTGAAATCAGCGTAGCATCTCGTCTCCCTGTTCGTGACACTCCACTTGAAAACACTCAAAGATGTCGTCTTCAGTCATCTCCCCTGAGGCGGGAACGCCGCAGGTTGAAGAGTCCAGCAGCAAGCCCGTATCCCGCTTCACCAGGTGGTTTCGAAGCCCGCTATTCAATGTTATACTGGCAGGTCTCATCTCCTTTACGCAGCCAGGCATCTGGAATGCACTCAATAGTATGTAACCCTCATGTAGCGGTAGTTTTGCGCCCCTGTGCAAGCATGAACTAACGATCCTCGAAAAGACACCGGTGCTGGAGGCCAGCAAGAGCCGTACTTGGTGAATGGAGCCAATTCTCTGACTTTCGGTATTATGGTCTTCGGCTGCTTCATATTCTCTTTACTGTCCAACCGATTCGGCGTAAAGAAGATCCTCATCATTGGAACTCTCGGCTATGCACCCTACTCGGCAGCCCTGTACGTCAACAACCGGTACGGAGTTGAGTGGTTCGTCTTGTTTGGCGGCGCAACTTGCGGTATTGCCGCCTCGGCCTTGTGGGCTTCCGAGGGAGCCATCGCGTTGGGATATGGAGGTGTCAAGGACCGTGGAAAATTCAGTATGTGCCTCCCACCATGGCATAACATGCGCCTCTCACTAACTGGTCTCTCTGCGTATAGCTGGGATCTGGCTCGGTCTTCGCGAGCTCGGTCAGCTTATCGGTGCATCCATCCAGCTGTCACTCAACGCCGGTGATGGCCAGCGAGGAAAGGTTTCATACACGACCTACCTTGTTCTTATTGCGCTGCAGTGCCTTGGTCTCCCATTTGCCCTCCTTGTTTCCCCCCCGGAGAAAATCATTCGGCCTGACGGAAGCAAGCTTGAGGTTCCACGGAAGGATAAACCCATCAAGGGTGAATTGAAGAAGATGTGGAATCTCCTCAAGAAAAAACAAATTCTGTTCCTTATTCCCGTTCTCGTAGGCTTCAACTGGAACGGCACCTACTTGGGCATTTACCAAACCAACTAGTATGTTTTCTTTCACCAATGATTGACTTGAGATCTGTCTCGCTAGCATTTCCGGCGATATACTAACATCCCGTGATTTCAGCTTCTCCGTTAGGGCTCGCACTCTGAGCTCTCTCGTCTCCGGCATCGTGGCTACCTTGGCAAATATCACTTGGGGCTGGGTATATGACCTGCAGAGGTTCAGCCGTCCCCAGCTCGCCAAGTATACCTGGACCTGCTTCTCGGTGGTTATGCTGGCCACGATGAGTTGGCAGATTGCAAACGAGAAGCTTTACTCATCGGCCGTGCCCAAGATCACACTTGACTGGGCGACCCCAGGATTTGGCCGCGCATTTGCGAGCATGGTCATCATGAGGTATGCCATTATAGCAATGATCATCCCATTTAAGAAACACGAAGACTAACCAATGCTAGGTTCATGAACGAGTCTCACTACATGTTTGTGTACTGGATTGTGGGCGCTTACTTTGACGATCTTGAGTCATTGACCTTTTGCGTGGGAATCATCCGCTCATTCGAGTCCATTGGCTCCTGTCTGTCCTTTGGAATTGGAGCCGCCAAGGTGGCACCCATGGTCAATCTGATTGTCGCCTATGTCATGTTTATCCTTGCCATTCCAGCAACCTCCTATGCTGTCCTTCTCGTTCCCGAGAGGCCCGTAGTTGCGAAGCTAGATGACTCGGAGTCTTCTGGAGAGGACATTCGGGACGAAGTGGAAGCGTCGAACAAGCAGGGCGTTGTTGTGACAGGAAGCACTAACTAATTCTGCGCTGTTATATAATAATGGACTAGTGTCTATCAGACATATAGTAGCCAAATTACATGCATATTGAAATATCTTTTCGGTGTCCGATGTGATATAGAACCGCGTCGTAGTAATTGCCAGACGTAAGAAAAGTCCCAGCAAACGAAATCTTTAATGCCTACGCAGGCCAAGACACCCTTCATCTTCATACTTATCGTAGTCCAGAAATATCAAAGAGAACACCTACTTGCTCATTTAGACTAGGAAGTTGAAGACGGGAAGTGGGCAATATCGACCACTCCCAGCCACGAGCCGCTTGAGGACTTCCTCAGTTATCATAAGGAATCTAACGAAATCAACAGCAGCGATACTTAAAACCCGTCACTTTGGCCATCATGATACACGAACGCCCTTATCAAGCATAGGTAAACCCGGTGACACCAATCGTTATCAAATTTGGTCCTGGGTAGAAGCGTGCTACGAGTGAGGTGATCTAATCGCTTTACATGCAACCAGTTGCTTAGGCAAATCTAGGGACTCGTGTTAGAATAGAGCTCACCGGAGAAATCAAAAATAAAGACACAAAACGGAATATTTGCACTTTGCTATTACAGCTTAACGGCAAGCTTGAAGGCTGTTTCTGTATAAAGGCAGAGCAACTGCTGATTATAGGGAAACCAACGGAACACAAGCAATAAGGGAGCACCAGATAGGTAAACCCGACAAGGAGATCGACAAGCCCCCCACAGCTGAACGAGTGGACCTGTACGAATTTCCGAAACCAGCCCATCAGCCAGTGGAGATGGTAAAGTCAGCTGCTTAAATACGCGTCAGCAAATGCTTTGGGTTGTTGATACGTCCGGTGATAGCACAACACAACATTTAGTGCCAGGGAAATCAGCCAAGGCCATGGAAAGTCAGTTAGCTCTTGACGATGCAGCAACCCTCGTGCCTGATGGTGATGAAACCAGCGTCGGCCCTTCACCACTCCCCAGCTCGCAGACAAACACCGCGCGCGAGGATGGAATGACCCCTCTGAACATCGCCTGCGCAAAAGGCAACTTCGACGCGGCCAAGCTGCTGCTCGGGAGCGGCGCAGACCTCGACAGCCCCGACCAAAGTGGCTGGACACCTTTGAACCACGCTGCGTTCTGGGGCCATGTTGACGTCGTCCGGCTGCTCCTCGAACAAGGTGCCAACACGAAACTCCGCAACAAGAATGGGGGCACACCGCTGAACTCTGCGGCGAAAAAGGGCCATGCAAGTATCGTTAGACTGCTCTGCCAGTATGGTTCGGAAGTGGACGATCAAAATAATAGCGGATTTTCTCCCCTCCACTCCGCTGCCAATGAAGGGCACTCAGAGGCCGTGGTAGCCCTTCTTGAGTGCAAAGCCCAGATTGACCTACCGAACTCGAATGGCTGGACTGCACTTAATTCTGCCTCCTCGAAAGGAGAGCTCAAAACAGTCCAAGCTCTGCTGAACTGTCACGCTCAACTCAATAGACAAAATCAAGGCGGATTCACGCCTCTTAACACAGCGGCAGACAAGGGGCACACCGATGTGGTCATGTATCTTATGAGCAGTGGACCAGATGTAAATATGAGAAACAATTCTGGATGGACACCCCTGAATTCTGCTGCATCTAAGGGGTATACAGACACTGTCAAATGTCTGTTAAGCCATGGAGCCAAAGTTGATCTTCCGAATAACGACGGATGGACACCTCTATTATCCGCGGCCCACAAAGGACATGCCGAGGTGGTCGCAGTTCTTCTTGATCATCAAGCAGATACCTCCGTCACCAGTGTACACGGGCAGACTGCGTTGGACCGAGCGTCCCGAGAGGGCCATATTGATGCTGTCAAGACACTTATCGATCACGACCAAGTCAACAAGAGGCTCGACCTCAAACGAAAGAACAAGAGCGGATTCACGCCACTCAACTCTGCTGCTCAATCAGGGTCGATAGAAACTGTCAAGCTATTATATTCACTAGATGGAAGCGTTTTGGAGACTCCCAATAACAATGGCTATACTCCGTTGAATAGTGCGGTGGATATGAACCTCCCTGTAGTGGTCAAGGTCCTGCTCGATCAAGGGGCAGACATGGCCACCAAGAACAAGAAGAAAGAAACACCACTTGTTGTTGCGACAAGAAGAGGGTTTACGGAAGTTGTCAAGGTTCTTCTTGATCAAGAGAGACTCAATGCCCTGGAATCAGGTAAAAGGTTAAAGGCTGAAACTACGGGAGATCAACCTGCTCGAGGCTCTGATTCAAGTAGAACCAGCAGTTTCAGGAGATTCTTCAAAAAGACTAGTTAAATTAGCTTAGCTTAGACGACTATGAGAGCAAAGCACATCAATAACCAAGTGTAAATGATTTCATAAATTGATCGCAGAGGCCGTCCATGGGATTGAAGGTAATAACTTGTGGTGCAAGAGCAATCAGGAACTGTAAGCCAACCGGCCATCCCGATTCCTCGGTGTACAATGTCCATAGGGTTGCGGGATTCTGCTTCTGATTTGGAAAACCCAACGTTATTATGGAGAAGCTGCCCCCGCCATTGCATATAATTCGAAGAAAGCCTTTCGGGATGGATTATAATATTGCCAGCCAAAATCTCTACCTAGTCTGTGCAAGCTACGGTCCCTAGAAATTATAGCGTCTTGTCTTTTGCGACGTAATACTCCTCATATGTAGACTTGTAACCCAAAATCCATCTCCCAACAAAACCCATTGCATTCATTAATGCCCTGCTTAAGAATAGACCGAGCCATTTCGGCGCAATGGGTAGCCCGAGTGGGGTGTCAGCGCTCTGTAAGAAGACGAAGAGCTGAAATATACTCGGGGATTGCCCTTCTTTCTTGCAATCGTCCAAGTACCCGAAGAAATTTCGAAAGAATCTCTCTTCACGCTCGACGTCCTCAGGGGTAAGAGAAACATCCAAGAGTAGCGGTTGCGTGGTGGAAGCATTGTTAATTGTGTGGTATTGGTTGGGAGTAATGGAGGCAGTTCTAGCGGCATTTGGATCGCTATCGTCTAAAATTTTCCAAGGAGTGTCAGAAGTGTCCTTGAACAAGTAGCATCTACCAGACACTATCCGAAAATACTCAGTCTGATGCATGTGAAAGTGGAATGGAGGAACCATGATGGAAGGCTCCTTCTGGTTAAACGGTGTGTGCATGTTCCTGAGGAGATAAGTTTGGGGGTCTGCAGAGGGCCGAAATTCGAGGGACGAAGCACCATCCTCGTAGATGATTGGGTTCTCCTTCGCACGGTTGGTTCGAGGTGGCGTTTTGGCACGAAGAAAGGACAGCATGTTTGATATCCAATACCCTGGGCAAGCAATGAGGGAAAGACCCAAGGAGGGAGTCAAAGTGGGAAAAGTCCAATAGCGAACTCAAGCCTAATATTAATCAGACTTACCTCTTCTCTGGCTTCGAGTATCTTCGATTTTGACTTCGAGTCCTACCGCCATGGGTTCTGGGAGCCGTGGCCGTCGGCAAAACCTCTTCCGGATTGCCGGTTTCTGAGTTTCTAGTCATGGCCAAGTCATAGATGGCTTGGACTGTGGAGGCAAAAGTTGTCGCAGTGCCCACAGCCACCAGTGCCATTTGAAACAGAGTCTACTGCTTAAGATCATGTTGGAGATAGGCATTCTTCCCTGAACTTAAATCAAGGCTGGAATCAGATTGGTAGTCTAATATTGAGAAGAGATTATCTATCTAACTATCTTTCAGAGGCTAGAGGACGTCACGTCTAGTAGGAGTCGAAATAGAAGAACTCGTGTGTGGGCAGCTGTCTTCCAGCAACATCATATCGCTTGGGGAGGACATTGAGTACGCCATAGGTGTCTCGGGGCTCAAAATCGAGTCCCATAGTAGACAACCGATGGACTTCCGGGCCATATTGCTCCTTGAGCCAATGTGCCACCATGTCCATGCCCGCGACAGCACCTGCAGCTGTCCAGATATTGCCATCAACCACCCACTTCGTCTCTTTGGTCCAGTTCACTGCAGGGAAACGCTTCTTGACCCACTCGTACTCGACATTGTTGATTGTTGCCCGCTTGCCGTCCAGCACGCCAGCTGAAGCCGCCACGAAAGCTCCCGTGCAGTTGGTGAAGAGGAGCTTACCGGAAGCGACATGCTGCCGGATATACTGCGCGTACTTGGGGTCCAACGCAAAGCTTTCAGGGTTCGGGCCTCCGACGAGGAGGATATCCAGCTCAGGCGCTTCGTCGACGGTAGTTGTTGGGACGACGAGAAACCCGGCAGTCAAGGGGACTGGCTCTTTGGAGAGGCCGATGTGGTGGAATTCAACTTCTGGCGCTTTCTTCGCGGCGACTTGGTCCACAGGGCCGTAAGTCTTAAGGAATCCCGCGACTTCTTTGCTGCCAGAGCCCAAGATATCGAGAGGGCCGACTGTATCAAGAGCTTGATACGGGAAAACCAGACTTCCAACGCGAAGAGGGGCCATGGTTATGAAATAATAAGTTTGTTCGGATTTGTGTTGATAGAAAGTTGAGGAAGAATGGTGTGTTTGTTTTCTTGCCAGGATTTCGGGAAAGTCTCTACATCTATATACTTTTCATTGTTACCATTTATTCCTAAACGGACCGCTCCGGAAGCTACATGAGTTTGATTTCAAAGACTACGCAGAGGTGATTACCCAATCCCAAGAGCACAATTGAGCGCTTCAAAAACTGCTCACGCGGGCAAAATTGCTCCGAATGCCCCTCAAACGTATGAAAGTCTCTTTAAGTTCCGATGAGGGTCGGCATACACGACTCTGACCCTTGTGTATGACCAATGAATCACCCGTTGAATTTGTAATCTGCCACTAGGTTCGGGTTAATAGATTGTCTTTTTTTCAGAATGATAGCAAAATGAGTGCCTGTTTCTGGTGGTTTTCGGTAGAGGCAAGGGTGTTTGTTAGTGTCAGCGCTTGAAGTCCCGACAATGCTTGCACTGTTTCAGGCCATATAGCACACGAGTAATATTGAAATCTTAGGGACATAAAAACTGAATCCCGCAAAGTATTTATTCCTTTACTCCGGGAGTTCCAAGCTCTATATAACTGTTTTGGCTTAGGTGCACAGTTGAAGGCCCCAGCTCAAGAAATTATGTCTTCTGCTTGCAACATACCAAATCAGCATTGCATCATTTTTCTTATGATACAGAGCCGAGGTCCCCCCCATTTGATCTGAGCAGCTGTCCCTCATGGGAGCCTGTCCCTTATAGGAGGAGCCTGTCCCTCATATGAGCATCAAGGCCTCGGCGTGCTGTCCTGGTTTCTCGAGCGATATTTTTTTTACCTACCTACACAGCTATTTTTGCTTCTATTGTGACAATGACTTGTACTAGCTCCTCCACATTTCCGAACTCAACAGTTCGCATTTCTTCACTGCCTCCACAACTTACATGGGTGCGGGATGGCCAGCACGATGCTCTACGATGTTCCAACAGCAAATACAGAAAGCAGAAAGGCCTCAGTTGCTGGCAACCTAAACACGCCAAAAGTCTAAAATCAGAGGTTGCTGGCACCCACGACAAATACGGTAAGCAGGAAAGCCAGAGCTGCTAGCACCATGGCAAATATCACGTTGCACATGACTTAGAATTTACAATTGATTCAGAAGACGATTGTATGACCTGAAATGTGTCTGCTCGTTGTACAGCACAGCTTGAATATAGGTTCTACATCCCTTTACTCGCCTGGAAACTGTATCTCAGACTGTCTGCTCTTGACCAGGACCTTTGCCTTGGGATCCCAGAATGATTCGTGGCCGAGGAAGATCCTTTCCGGCCTACCGCGACCATCAATAAACTTCCAGTCATACTTCATCAAGAGGTGTACTAGGATGATCTTTGACTCGTTGGAAGCAAAGAATCGACCTGGGCAAGCATGCGAGCCAACTCCAAAACCAAAATGGTCGACAGTCGTCGAGACGAACTGGGCCTTGTTCTCGTTGCCGGTTTGCATTCGCAGGTCGTAGAATCGACGGCCGACAAACTTGTTGCTGTCTGGCCAGATCAGGGGATCCAACATGCGCTGTGCAGTCGGCGTTGCAACAGCTGAGCCCTTGGGTAAGACGGTATTGTCGGAAAGGGTGATTGTGTCGCGAACGCGGCGGTGGATAAGAGCTGGAGTGGGCTGTGAGTCTTTTCGTGCAAAACAGTCAGTTTTATCGACGAGTGTTTGCGGAACCTACCCAAGCTAACGGTGTTGAGCCTCTGGCTCTCCTTCAAGACACTGTCCATCATCTTCAGTGCGTGCAGTGATGTTTTCTTCCATCCGTCGGAGTGATCAGACAGCTGCTCAATGACTTCTGCTCGCAGCAAGTCAATGTACTCTGGATTTGCGCAGAGATCATACATGACGCCTTGAAGCAGACCAGAGGTAGTATGGATCGATGCAAATGATAACAGAAGCTGGCCATTGACAATGTCGAGCGCCCGACCCTTGGTCATATCCTCCAGCCACTGGAGTGCGTCGACCGGTTTTTCATACTCGAGGCCGTTTCTACTACATTCCAGCTGATCCTGTCGCCGTCGCTCAAGGATCGGTGCGACCAGCTCATGTGTCTCTTTCAAATCCTGCCTGGCTTTCCTTGTCTGAGGAAGGAACCAATGGATGATGGGATGGCTGAATCGAGGCCACATTCGCATCGCACGTGTGGCAGCAACTACATCCGTGGTGTATTTGATGGCAAGCCCCAGCCATCGAGGGTCCCTGCAGAGGTTTTCGCCTAGAAACACCCGGCTAGATAATTGCGCAACGCTGGCGACGGAGATGTCACGAAAACTCTGTTCAGTCCAATCTACAAGACGTTGGCACAGATCATGGAACGTGACAGAGCTTGTCCGGGTGAAGGAGCCATACCTTGAGTAGTTGAGACTGGAAGACGACTATTCAAGAAGATGCCCATCTCCTCAGAAAGGGGGTCTGTGACCTTGGCTGGCAAAGGGTTCAGCGTGCATCACTCGGCCTTTGTAGCACAACACAAACATACCGAGAGACCCTGACAGTTTTACCTTGATTGTATCCTGAATGATGTTGTCATGTGATCCTGCGCCAAAGGCTCCAAATCCTGGAAACTTGGCAAAAAAGTCCTGCTCACATCCTGGTCATTGTTGATCGAATCCGCCACGACAGGCTTTGACTTACATGCTCGATGAAATCAACGAAGGATAGTTCGTTTTTGCTCTTGACTTCATCTAAGAATGACGGTGGCAGTATAATCTTGAATCCGGTCGTGCTCAGGACCTGGTAGCATTTTCCTTTGAACTGAGCAGTATCGCGACTTAGCTTCAATGTTTGTAGCTTCTGTAATTGGAGATGATGAACTGAACCTGTTTTTGACCCAACTCAAAAAGCTCTCGTGCTTTGAAAACATAACGAACTTTTGTCTTGTAATAGCTGTTCATTCCGAACCAGCCCTTTTCCATCCCCAGGATGGGAATTCCTGGATATGGCCGTTCATCTCGGAAGAAGAGAATCGAGATCCCAAGAACGATAGTTGTAGCCAGGTAAGCCCACCACGCCGTGGAAGAGTTTGCATTATTGACATCAATGTTCAAGAAAGCCATCGTGGTGTTTGTGATCGGAATGTCGGACCAGAATATTCTCTCTCCCGTCTATTATTATGATGTGTCAGCCCAAGGAGTTTACCGAAATATAGTTGGCAATAAAGCTAGTATGGGACAGGTAGATGCTTCTGTCAAGCTTCAGATGCAAACCAGATTCATATTACGTCCAAGGAAGCTAGATCGAGAGTTTGCTGCTTCTTATACATCCAGAAATACGGCCGAGCCAGAAAGAAAAAGAGGCCTAGCAAGGGCCTCGTTCAGATGCAACATCAGAGGCAAGATTGCACGTTTGGAAAACAGAATACGAGAATGCGAGCATGCGAGCATGCGAGCACACTATGATGAGAAAATACAAGGGATGCGAGGATACCGTAGCACGTCATACACGAAAAAAGCTCGTGCTCCTACTTTAAATAACGATATTAAACATCAGTCTTGCCCAGACTTAGACAGGGTTAAAGAAGTTTTGGACTTCACCATGCACCTAGGAGACCAAGAGCATGTGATGAACAAGCCGGCCTCTACTTGCGAAATGAAGTAGGCATCTCTTTGATCATGAGTTGATGTTATACTTGGAGCCATAGTGCTCTAACAACGCTCTTCTCCTACTTGCAGAAATGCTAGATGACCATGTCACGTTCAGGTACATGGATTTGCAATTTTGGTGCCAAAATCGATCACAACCAGAGCCCACGTAGGGCCTACATTTTCTTTTTTTTTTCTCTTTTCTTTTTAGGCTTTGAGACTCACTTCACAGTCATGTCGCATGTGGTCGAGACGGAAGTCTGAGTTGAAATCTCATCTATTGTGTTTGTAGTTGGGCCTTGAATAATCTTTGTTAGCGCAGCTCATTGATTCACCATCTGGGCTCGGAAGTCTTTCTCTGATTGATGTTATTCAGACATGTCGTTGACATCAATGTTGTCTCGCAAGGACCTCTGTGGCCAAGCAAGCCATTCATGCCATTCAGGGCCCAATGAAGATGCTACTGATATCATGACATTGCCGCTCCACCCATGACTGACCCAATCTGGATGCTCATGGGGTCTCACGAGGGCAGCATAGTGAGCTAGGATGATGAGTGCGAGAGGGTGAGCTATTTGTATGAGCTCGATGAACAACTGCGTAAGTGTCATGGGCCACGTCCACACGCGCCGTGAGCCACTGAGTGACTGGTCGCCCTTGCACGCGCAATAAGTTGTCCGAAGTGACTCAATGGCGAGCAGGCAAGAAGTGCGAACATTAATGGCATCGAGGGACGCTGGACTTGTTTCTCTGGTTAGTGCAGATAGACGCTCCAGCCTCGATTGGAATCCGCCCAACTGCTTCTCCTCGACGGGATCCATCATCTGCAAGAGCGGTGCCAGAGGTCCGTCCTGGTTCTGGATCCATGTCGGCATAGCAGATATGATGCTCTTGACACCCTGAAGAAGGGAGAAGGACCGAGCTATTTCCTCCGGAGAAACAGGCTTCTCGGTATCCTGAGGCTTTGCGATGGAGCACGTAGCCAGGAGGAATATTAGGGTGCCCAGGAAGAAGAATGGCGTAAAGTTCTGATCGTTGAGGTCATTGAGATGAGTGGTAAAGTATTGCAAAGCTAGATCCTGGTACCGAGACGATACGAACGTGAACTCGCGCTCTTGCTGGGGATTGGTATGAGCATAATGTAATGCTGATACACCGAGCAGGCCATGCATCAAGAATTGCTATACCATCATCAAGTTAGTCTCGCTGGATCTGGGGAGCAACATGTGGAGACTCTCAGCGCAACCTACATGCGAGAAGGCAGCTTGAGGAAGGGAAGTTCCCCACAGCGGCGCAGTAGCCGGGTCGCGGGAGAGTGTGAGAGCAACGTTGGTCGTGTAGTGGTGAAGAAGAGGCAGGCTCTCCATCCACTCTTCAGAGAAGACATGGGGCGGTGGAGGACGGGGTCTGGATCGACTTGGCAATGCCTCAAGGTCTTTTGGTCCACGGCCAGCAGAGTTCGGGTCGGCGAGGGCGCCATCAGGGGCAGAGAGTATCGATTGATCGTGCCCGTGGCCCTGAGATGGTGCCGCTGGTGGCGAACCGCGATGCCGGGGCGGTGAGATGGATGGCTCATGACTGGGGCACTGGGGCGTCGTGGGCTGAGAGACGGCCTGTTGCTCGAGGCTGCAGGGGACTTCATGTCGTTGACAGTTGCCACATGGACGCTGCTCATCACACTGCAGAGATCCGTCGTCGGCTCGCGATCAGAACATGTACAGCCTCGCAGAAGACATCAAAGATGGACTATGGTATCAATGCCTAGGGGTGAGCTTACCTTGACGCGCCGCTGTTTGCAGCGCTTGCATCCATTTCGAGACTTTCTGTGTCCGACACGAGATTGCCGCATTGTGACCCAGCTATACTCGAATGCCAGCCTCTCGTTGAACCTTCTCAAGGTAGGTATTTCAGGCTAAGGGTTGCCATAGGTTGATGTCGCTTTCGCATTCCTACTTGGCAGGGGAGGCCGGTCCAGCACCAATCTTCGATTCGAAGAGCACGTGCGCCTAGTGCCTTGGCAACACTAACCATGAATGCGAGAATGCGAGAATGCGAGAATGCGAGAATGCGAGAGCGGTGATACGAGAATGCGAGGCCGTGACGACGTACCGATGCGAGAATGCGAGAAACCTCCTATGTCATGGTAATCGCCGGAATCTCCCTTTCTTGCCCAATTTCTCCTCTCCAACTCAAAATCCTTCCATAGCAGACTTTTGATTCGAATATTACACAGCTGAGGGGTAAACCATACGGAACATTACTCCAAGGTGTATCAAAACTCTATTCTATACTACAAAGCAAATTCTAAAGGTCTATCTGTCCGGACGTTGGACTTACACTGTGTAGCCAACCGTCCTTTGCGTCTATGAAAATTATGCTGTACTAACTTAGACTGTGTGGGTATTGCTCATGATCCTCTCCAGACGTATCTCTTCACGATTGAGTCCTTCCTCGCTCTCGTCTCCTCTCTTTGATCTGGTCCTGTTCAACAATGTCTCGGCCTCCAGAGCATATTTGCCCCTGGCACGAATGCGGTCGCCGTAGTAGTAGAAGAGGAAAGGAAATGGCACACACGCGGCCGCAAGAAAGGCCGGTATAGACGAGGCCCAATGGATTCCGAGGTCTTCGTACATGTAAGGTGTGAAGAGGGGGAAAACGGCACCAAACACCGAACGCAAGACCGAGTTTGCTGCCAGCACCGAAGCAGCATAGATGACATCTATTCTTCTTAGCATCCCAACACCGTCGCCTTTTCAGAAGAGCAAACTTACAAGTATCAACGAGATAGGCCATCAAGGAGAGGAAGATGAGCACGATGCCTGAACCAAAGACGCCAGATCCAATAATGGATACAGACCAGTGGATGTCTGAGCTGTTGGTCCAAGCAAACCAGAACATGCCGATGGGGACGAGAAGGGATCCGACCATACCAGGAGGCAGACGCGCCTCGGGTGGAGGATTTCCACCATGCTTGGCGGCAGTGTCAGTGTACCGTTTATTATCGAAGATGACACCAGCCACCGCAATCGTCATTCCCACGGCAATACCAATGAAGGCTAGACCGCCAATCCCGGGGCTCCAGCCTCTGCCCATTTGATAGACAATGGGGAAAGCAGCAAAGCAAAGGTAGAGCGTTCCATAGATAATGGCCATATAAACCGAGGTGATGAGAACAATGGGTTCAGCAAACAGTAATACCCAAGGACGGACCAATGCAGCCTTCAGCTGTGCACTGATAGCCATCTGGGGCTGACCAATATCGAGTTTTGACATATAGGCCTTGCCCGTCTTCTCCGACAGGATTTTGGCGCGCTTCTTCAGAATGACGGGTGAGTAGGTCTCGGGATATACGACAGTACTGACAATCCAGAGAACGCCATTGAAAATGGCAATCATGCCCTGCACCCATCGCCATCCATGCTTCTCACCAAGGAACCCACCTGCAATCGGCCCAATCGCCGGACCCAAGAAGGGAGCCATGGCGAAGATTCCCATGGCGATGCCGCGCTCTTCCGCCTTGAACATGTCGGCAATAACGGCGCCTGCATTTGTGAGCGGAGACGATCCAAAGGCACCGGCCAAAAATCGAAGAATAACGAGAGATTCAATATTTGGGGCACCAGCTGCGCCGGCCTCGAACGCAGTGAGGGCCATGTATGTGATGAAGAATAGCATCTGCCGGCCATAAATCTCCGAGAGGGGTGCCCAGATTAGCGGCCCTATGGCAAAGCCCAAAACGAACATGGAGACACCCAGAATGGCGACCTCCTGAGAGACCCTGAACTCGGTCAGGACTGTGCTTATACCACCAGAGAATGCCGAGCTGGCAAAGGACACGGACAGCGTTGCCACGGCCTGGACAATCGTGATGAGCCACTTCCGCGACCTCGAGAAGCCCACGGGGTTCCAGGGATCATCGGGCAGGAACTCGACAATGTACGGTGATTCTTCCGTCCCTTGACCAACGTAGTGGTGATTTAGAACTGCATCAGTGACGCCGGCCAGGTCTAGCATACCGCGCACATAGCTGATTTTGGTATTTTGTTCGATGGGCTGACTCTCAGCCGCGCCCTCGAGTGTCGTCGACGACGGCGAATTTAGACGTGCCATGGATTGCATTGAAGTTCGGTTGATTTAGATAGTTATCGAATGCGCGGTCTATGGTTGCGATCAAAGTCAATGGCTGTCGATCAGGATCGGTACTCTTCGAAGGGTTTTCAAGATTATTTCCACAGGCTTAATACAGCATGTCGATTACATTTGGCGATTAAGCAGATCTTTTATATTGAATAAACACAGGGTCTTAACAAGTTGCCAGATGGTCCCCAAATGGCTCAAGGCGGCGTTTCCATTTTTTTATGCGAGACCATTACACGCTCATTTCGCTTTTGGTCTATCAAACCCTCTGCTGGATACGAGGCTGTCTATGATGTCTCGCATAGTCGCACTCGGTCTCGTACTCTTCCTACCTTAGCTAGAAATTCACCATTGGCTAGCAGATCCACTTGTTAAACGAGTCAAAGTTCGACGAGCAATATCGAACGCCTTTCGGCATGGGATGGATCCGAACTGTATCGACATCAGATGCCTGGAGACAGACTGTTGTGTCGTGCATACTAGATTGCCTGAGTCTGTCAATCTCTTCTCCTTTTTTCTTTCTTTGGAATCCCCGCCCGCTCTGACAGAGACACTATGTCTAAATATCGGCGTAAATATCGTAATTCTAGCTTGAGCGAATTCACAATCCAACTAATTCGACTAGTCAATCAAATTTGATAACTACCGTTGCTCCCGGAATAGAAGGGATCCTATCTGCTCTCCGAGCGTTTAGCTGGTGAGGGGCCGATTAGTACATGTAGTTGGGTCGGTGACGGCCAGCGAATACGGGCTGTTGTATGATTCATTTTTGTCTTTTGCATATAGGTTTTGCTTGCCTTTGCCCCGGATGATCGTCTTACGCGCCAGAGGATCAGATCCAGGATTTGTCGGTTCCGCTCCGCCCACCAACACCGACAGGCGGAACCGACTCAATAAGCACGCAGCCGACAGCGGCGAGGTGAGACAGAATTACCCCGCTCGTCTTCCCTGGCTTGTGTGTGGGGGGTTTTGGCTAGATCGTTGCTGCTCAAGATCGCCTTTGCGGAGCCTGCGGGGGAAAGCTGGGGGACGATCCTGGGTGTCTGCTCGTTTGAGCAGTATCTTCCGACGTGATGAAGCTGCCTGGGTGAAATCACTGCTCGAATCCCTAGTACGCTGTTCCTTCTCGACGGGGCGGTCCGGGAAATGTGAACTGGGCCCAGCAGCTGTTCCGATGCCATGTGTTCTCTATGTGCTGGCTGGGCAGGACAAGCCAATCATGTCCAGTCGGAATATGTATGTCTCAAATGAGACACGCTCAGAGTTTGACTCTTATATAACGAGGCCGATTCTTCCTCCGATCCCGTCTCTCTCTTTCTGTCCATCACATTCATCCTTGACTCCCCAACTCCAGCACACACACAATCACAAGTTTTGACACAGCATCAACATCATCACCATCACCATAGCCCACGATGGCTGCCCTTGTAGAGCTACAGCCACCCGTGCCATCGCATCTGCGAGGCGTCCCAGGCTCAGTCAACATCCACGTTGCCAAATTCCCCGCAAATGCCACCGCGCCCAAGGCCACAATCGATGCCGCCAAGGTCGCATCCCAACTGGTCGACACAATCAACCAGGCACTTGAAAGGAGCGACTTCACCGCTCTGTCAAAGCTATTCACTGATGACGGGTACTGGCGAGACCATCTCGCGCTCACATGGGCGTTCCGGACGGCGCAGACCCCCAGCGATGTTCAGGCCTTGCTCGAAGGCGCTGCAAAATCAAAGGACGGGCTGCGGCTCAAGAAGATCGCAGTCGATACCACCTCGTCTGTAAGGGAGCCCAAGGTCGTCCCATTAGACGCGGCTGCGACCGTCTCCGGGATCAAATTCTTCCTCTCAATTGAGACTGCTGTCGGTGCCGGCGATGGCCTCGTGCAGCTAGTCGAGCAAGATGGCCAGTGGAAGATCTTCACGCTGTACACCCGCCTGCAGGAGGTCCGTGGGCATGAAGAGAACGTCAACGGGCGCCGTCCAAGAGGTGTCCAGCATGGCGGACAGCCCGGACGAAAGAACTGGGCCGAGAGGAGGCAGGAGGCGGCGGGCTTCAACGCAGGCAATGACCCGGCTGTGCTCGTAGTTGGTATGTTTTCTTTCCATCTATCTCTTGGGTGAATAACCTCAACTGACGGTCAAACCTTCTAGGCGCTGGTCAGGGCGGCTTGACTGCTGCCGCTCGACTAAAGATGATGGGCGTGGAAACGCTCGTCGTCGACAGGGAAGACCGCATCGGCGACAACTGGCGCAACCGATACCACCAGCTTGTCCTGCACGATCCGGTGTGGTACGACCACCTCCCCTACCTCAACTTCCCATCCCAGTGGCCCATCTTCACTCCCAAAGACAAGCTCGCCGACTTCTTCGAGGCGTACGCGACGCTCCTCGAGCTGAACGTGTGGACCAAGACGGAGCTCGTCTACACAAAATGGGACGACTCAAAGCAGATCTGGACCGTCATCGTCAACCGGAAACGGGCAGACGGCACCAGCGAGGTCAGGACGTTCCATCCTCGCCACCTGATCCAGGCCACGGGCCACTCAGGCAAGAAGAACATGCCCCAAATGAAGGGCATCGAGAACTTCAAGGGTCACCGCCTCTGCCACTCCTCCGAGTTCCCCGGTGCCCGCGCCGACGCTGCAGGCAAGAAGGCCATTGTCGTGGGCTCGTGCAACTCCGCGCACGACATTGCCCAGGACTTTGTCGAGAAGGGCTACGACATCACCATCGTGCAGCGATCAACCACACACGTCGTGTCATCCAAGGCCATCACGGACATTGCCCTCAAGGGCATCTACGATGAGAACGGACCCCCTGTCGACGATGCAGACGTGCTGATCCACGGTCTCCCTACCTCTGTCCTCAAGGCGCTCCAGGTCAAGGTCAATGAGCTGCAGAAGGAGCACGACAAGGAGACGCTGGATGGGCTGGCCAAGGCCGGGTTCAAGGTCGACCGTGGCCCCGATGAGGCCGGCCTCTTCTTCAAGTATTTCCAGCGTGGCGGCGGCTACTACATCGACGTGGGAGCCAGTCAGCTCATCGTCGACGGGAAGATCAAGGTCAAGCAGGGCCGGGAGATTGACGAGGTGCTTCCCAACGGACTGCGCTTTGCCGACGGCACCGAGCTCGAAGCTGACGAGATTGTCTTTGCGACTGGGTATCAGAACATGCGGACACAGACCCGGCTCATGTTTGGAGATGATGTGGCGGACCGGGTGACTGATGTGTGGGGATTCAATGCCGAGGGAGAGATGAGGACCATCTGGCAGAGGAGTGGCCATCCTGGATTCTGGTTCCACGGAGGAAACTTGGCACTCTGCCGATACTACTCTAAGCTTCTCGCTCTGCAGATCGTCGGGCAAGAGGCGGGATTGTACAAGGACGGGGAGATTTAACTAGACGTAAAGGAAAATTGCAAAATAGATCGAAAGTATAAGAGATCCAGCGCGATGAACTCACAGCTAGATGGTTGTTCGCCTTTAAAATACTCTCGAGTGATGAAATTAGTTTGATTCGAAGACGCTGATCAAGCGCGTTCTCCAAGACATGTGCCAATACATGGGGTAGATTCTCCAAGATACCACACCATAATCCATCATCTCCCATTTCCCCGCCCGACAGATCAGAGATCTCCTTACCACATTGAGTGATCCTTGCTGATCTAGCTTTGACCCTGGGATAATGGCTATCCGTCACGGAGAGTAAGTAACGTCCGGTACAGTCCACCGCGAGATGAAATCTCAGATGGCAAGCTTGATGAATCTGACCATCCGCCCACAGCTTCCCCGCAATCCGGGCTTGCATCTTCGACATGGACGGACTCCTCATCAACTCGGAAGACATCATCACAGATTCCATCAACCAGGTCCTAGAAAAGTATGGGAGACCTGCCATCACCGGCTCCATCCGCGCCCAGATCATGGGTGTGCCGGACTCGACAAATAATGATATCTTCCACAACTGGGCTCAGCTGCCGATCACGCGCGAGAAATTCGCTCCTGAGTATAAAGAAGAGATATATCGAAATTTTCCCAGTTGCAAGCCAATGCCCGGTTCGGAGAGGCTCCTCTCGGCCCTCAGCCGTGCACGCAACATTGATGGAGAACCGATTCTCCTGGGACTTGCGTCCAGCACCAAGACAGAGAGCTACGATTTGAAGGTTACCCAGTCTGAGACTAAACGGCTTCTTGACCTTATTCACTCTGATCGTAGAATCTTGGGTGGGGATTCTCGGCTGCGCCAGGGACGAGGGGAGCCAGCACCTGACACATACCTGCTCGCACTGCAAGTATTAAACTCAGAAAGCCAGAAACCCATAATGCCCAACGAGTGTTTGGTGTTCGAGGACAGCGTAACCGGAGTCGAGGCCGGCCGGAGAGCTGGAATGCGGGTGATTTGGGTGCCGCACCCGGACGTAGCAACGGAATACGAGTCGAGGAAAGAAGATGTCTTGGCCGGAAGGTGTGGGACATCCAACCTCGAGGAAGAGTGGCAGCTGGGGGAGGTTAACGATGGGTGGGCAGAATGCATCTCGAGTCTCGAGGCTTTTGACTATGAGAAGTATGGAATAAATATCGTATAGCAAGAGGTTGGATTCGAACCATAGCTCAATCCCTCTATCTCTCGGTCCAAATAGCTATCATCACATTATATCCTACGACATTTGGCTGTATTATCAAGTGCATACTGTCAGGCAGCGTTCTTCTCATCACCAATCACCAAGGAGACCGCACCGACTCAGTGTACGCCTACGAGATCCTCTCCAATATCACAAACCCTAGATTATTGTGAGGGGGTTTCTGTTCACCATGGAGAAAGTAAGATGTGTAAAGAACCAAAACGAGGAACTTTCAGACCAGAGTAAAACAATTATTGCAAATTGATGAGTGGCATTGTTCAAATTCATCCAAAGTCCATCTCGATATTATTACACAATGGGACCCCCTCCGCCGCATATCACACCTGTCAGTCAGT